AAAAAAAAAAAAAAAAAAAAAAAAAAAAAAAAAGCTAGATAACTGTACCTAGCCAATTATTGAATTTGGTTTTCTTTATCATGAACCTTATATCAATCTTTTCTTCAAGCCCCTTCCATGGACCACAAATTACAAACCACAGCTGGGTGCTGTACAATTTTTTCAATTATTCTTTTATTAAATTACTTAGTATTTTTGCAGTGACGCCCATAAATTTTTAATGGGAAAAAAGAGGGCCTGGGAACCCCACAGACCAAAGCTCTTCCCGTTCATGAACACGCAACCCGAGTCAGGATTCTCCCCTGACGACCATCCCTGGGTCCCTGTACGATTTGGGAGAGACGCGGGACTGCGGGTCACTGCGCAGAGAAGAGACAGGACGCCTGGGGATTTGGCTGTCAGCGTAGCCGCCATCTTATTTCTGCAGGGGACTGAGGCCGAGCTGGGAAAGGAGAACTCCGGGCGCAGATTGTGGAGCTGACTGCGGGGAGGCCTGCGTCCCGCCACAACCGCTTCCCACCAGTTCCAACCAGCCCCCTCCCCTCTCTCGGGATGTCGGACTGGAATTCTTACCATTTCTAGGCTTCTAGGGGGTCCCGGCATCTTAGCTGTGGATCTCCAATACCTGCTGGTAACAGCGCCACAAACGCGGGGCCTCTAGGAGCAGAGGATACAGATCAGTGAAGACAGACCTGCAGCTCCAGCGGCAGCAAGAGACAAAGGCCCCGCCATATCCCGGAAGCCGCCCTTGTCCGCTCCAGCTGTGTGCCTGATTGGACAGTTCCCAGTCCAACGTCCCTGATTGGATAACGTTTAAGGCCCCGCCTAGTCAGACCCTGAGTGATAGAAGATGTGATCACACGCTGGACTGAAGAGTGACAGCTTAAGCTGCAGCCTTATCAGGCAGGGCTTCCTCCCTGAGCTGAGCCAGGCCCACCCCAGAGCATGCGAAAATTCTGTATCTGTTTTGCTCTCTCTCTTTTTCAACGTATTCAAAATGTGAACAAACATTTTTATATATATTAATAATACATAAAATTTTTGTTCAAGAGAAAATCAACTTTTACTTTAGTAATAATGTATTATCAGTACAAAAGCTAATTTAATAAACCGTTGTAAGTAAATCCATCAGCTGGGCGCGGTGACTCACGCCTGTAATCCCAGCACTTTCGATGGCCCAGGCGGGCGGATCACCTGAGGTCAGGAGTTCAAGACCAGTCTGACTAACATGGTGAAACCTCATCTCCACTAAAAATACAAAGTTAGCTAGGCGTAGAGGCATGTACCTGTAATCCCAGCTTCTCGGGAGGCTGAGGCAGGAGAACTGCTTGAACCCAGGAGGTGGTGGCTGCAGTGAGTGTAGATCGCGTCATTACACTCCAGCCTGGACAACAAGAGTGAAATTCTGTCTCAAAAAAATAAAAGTAAAAAAAAAATTAGCTGGGTATGGTGGCGCGTGCCTGTAATCCCAGCTTCTCAGGAGGCTGAGGCAGCAGAATTCCTTGAACCCTGGGGGCTGAGGTTGCAGTGAGTCAAGATCTTGCCATCGCACCCTAGCCTGGGCGACACAGCGAAACTTTGTCTCAAAAATAATCATAATAATAATAACAAAAATAAAGTCCATCGAATTTGTCTTTTTGACCATTCTAGATTTTTATACATATTTTATGATCTCTTATCATTTTTTATTTTTTATTTTTTGTCTAGACAAAGTCTAGCTCTGTCGCCCAAGCTGGAGTGCAGTGGCGCCATCTCGGCTCACTGTAACCTCTGCCTCCTGGGTTCAAGCGATTCTCCTGCCTCAGTTTCCCGAGTAGCTGGGATTACAGGCATGCATCACCAAACTCGGCTAATTTTTTGTATTTGTAGTAGAGACGGGGTTTCACTGTGTTGCCAAGCTGGTCACGAACTCTTGGCCTCAGGTAATCCACCCCTCTCAGCCTCCCAAATTACTAGGATTAAAGGCGTGAGCCATCGTGCCCGGCCATTTTTTAAGTTTTTATATTTTATTTTAATTTACATTATTTTTATGTTTTCAATTTGAAACAACCCCTAAGTAGTTTCAAAGTAGACAAAATGTTTCTAACTTTCTTCATCAAAAGCATATTTTGCTTTTGTTTATACACTTTCTTTTTTTATTTCCGGGAGAGAGGCTTGTTCTTTCACCTAGGCTGAAGTGCGGTGGCGCAAACTTGACTCACTGCAACCTCCGTCTCCCAGGTTCAAGCGAATCTCCAGCCTCAGCCTCTCAAGTAGCTGGGACTACAGGCGTAAGCCATCAGGCCCGGTTTATTTCCGTATTTTAAGTAGAGAATGGAATTTGCCTTGTTGCTCAGGTTGGTCTGGAACTCCTAAACTCGAAATGATCCGTCTACCCTGGCCTCCCAAAATGTTGGGATTACAGATGTGAGCACTTTGTTTATACACTCTCTACGAAAAATTGGTTTTCTTACACCTAGAAATCTTAGCTATGTATATATAAATTACATTAACCCTTAACAAACTAATTTTTAATGAAATCCCTAGAAAGTAATTTTGAACTGTTTTGTATCAATATTTGTAGATAAAAAATATTTTATGTTTTTTAATGTTTATTCAAATTTTCTGTTAAGTAACAGATCTAAATATAGTTAACTTTTCTATATCATGTTTAAAAAAAATTGTGGGCTGGGTGCAGTGGCTCACACCTGTATTCCCAGCATTTTGGGAGGCCGAGGTGGGTGGATCACGAGGTCAGGAGTTCGAGACCAGCCTGGCCAATATGGTGAAACCCCCATCTCCACTAATAAATACAAAAATTAGCTGGGCATGGTGGCGCGCACCTGTAGTCCCAGCTACTCGGAGGCTGAGGCAGGAGAATCGCTTGAACCTGACAGGCGGTGGTTGCAGTGAGTCAAGATCAGGTCACTGCACTCCAGCCTGGGTGACAGAGTGAGGCTCTGTCTCCAAAAAAAAGAGAAAAGATTGTGGTCACTCATAATGGTTCATGCTTATAATCCCAGCACTTTGGGAGGCCAAGAAATGAAGACTGCTTAAGCCCAGGAATTCGAGATCAGCCTAGGCAACACGGCAAAAACATGTATCTAAAAAAATACAAAAGTTAACTGAGCATGGTGGCCTGCACCTTTAGTACCAGCTATTCAGGAGGCTGAGGGAGGAGGATTGACTGAACCAAGGAGGTCAAGGCTGCAATGAGCCCTGATCAAGCCATTGCACTCTATTCTGGGTGACAGAGTGAGACCCCTTCTGAAAAATAAAAAATAAACCAAAAACAGCCAAAGCACAGAAAGTTAAACTTATGGGGTTTGGGGTTATTTTGTTTCTGTTTATTATTATTATTATTTCCGAAGTTTCTAAAGTACAGATGATGTTTGGTTACATGGATAAGTTCTTTTGTAGTGATTTCTAATATTTAGGTGCACTCATCTCCCAAGCAGTGTGCACTGTACCCAAAATGTAGTCTTTTATCCCTCACTCCTCTCCCACCCTTGCCACTGAGTACCCAGAGTCCATTTATATAATTCTTATGCCATTGCATTGTCATAGCTTAGTTCCCACTTATAAGTGAGAACATACAATGTTTGGTTTTTTATTTCTTAGTTAATTCACTTAGAATAATGGTCTTCAACTCCATTGAGGTTGCTGCAAATACTATTATTTTATTCCTAGTTATGACTGAGTAGCATTCATTGGTGTGTATATATGTATGTATATATACACACATATGTGTGTGGCATATGCCACATTTTCTTTTTCCACTCATCAGTTGATGGGCATTAATTAGGCTGCTTCCATTCTTTTGCAATTGCAAATTGTGCTGCTATAAACATGCATGTGCAAGTGTCTTATTCATATAATGACTTCTTTTTCTCCGTGTAGATACCCAGTAGTGGGATTGCTGAATCAAATGGTAGTTCTACTTTTAGTTTTTAATGAATCTCCATACTGTTTTCCATAGTGGTTGTACTAGTATACATTCCCACCAGCAGTGTAAAAGTATTCCCTTTTCACCGCAGCCATGACAACATGTATTATTTTTTGATGTTTTAATTATGGTTATTTTTGCAGGAATAAGGTGGTATCACATTGTGGTTTTGATTTGCATTTTCCTGATCATTAATCATTAGTAATGTTGAGTATTTTTATCAATGTTTTTTGGCCATTTGTATATCTTCTTTTGAGAGTTAATTAAGTCTCATCTGTCTTTGTTTCATGTTGCATGTGTTTTGGGGTTCTTGGTCATGTAGGCTTTGCCAAAGCCAATGTCTAGAAGAGTTTTTCCAGTATTATCTTCTACAATTTTTATAGTTTCAGGTCTTAACATTTTTGATCCATCTTGAGTTGATTTTTGTTTTGCTTAGTCTTACTTTATCTATGCAGGTTCTTTTTTGTTTCATATGAATTTTAGATGTTCTTAGTTATGTGAGGAAATTATGATGTTACCTTCATGGGAATTGTATTGAATTTGTAGCTCGCTTTTGGTAATATCATCATTTTTACAATACTAACCCTATCCCTCTATAAGCATGGGATGTGTTTTTATTTGTTTGTGTCATCTATGATACCTTTCAGCAATGTTTTATAGTTTTTCTTGTAAAGATCTTTCATGGCCTTCTTTAGGGATAATCCTAATTATTATTACTATTTTTTTGCAGCTGCTTTAAAAGAGGCTGAGTTCTTGATTTAAATATCAGTTTGGTTGCTATTGGTGTATACCAATGCCACTAATATGTGCACATTAATTTTGTATCCTAAAACTTTACTGAATTTATTTATCAGATCTAGATGCTTTTTGATGAGTATTTAGGGTTTCCTAATTAGATAAGTGTAACATCAGTGAACAGTGGCAATTTGACTACCTCTTTACCAACTTGGAGGCTCTTTATTTCTTTCTTTTCTCTAGTTGCTCTGGCTAGGACTTTCAGTACTATGTTGAATAGAAGTGATGAAAGTGGGCACTATTGTCTTGTTCCAGTTCTCAGAGGAAATGTTTCCAACTTTTTCCTGTTCAGTTTAATGTTGGCTGTGGGTTTGTTACAGACGGTTTTAAAAAAAAAATGAAGAGATTGATTCTGAGCCATATATGCGTGGCAATGGCCTATGACACAACTGTCAGGAGGTTCTGAGAACATGTGCCCAAGGTGGTCAGGGTAGAGCTTACTTTTATGTATTTTGGAATGAGACATCAATCGAATATTTTTTTTTTTTTTTGAGATGGAGTCTTGCTCTGTTGCCCAGATTGGAGTGCAGTGGCATGATCTGGTCTCACTGCAACCTCCGCCTCCCAGGTTCAAGAGATTCTTCTACCTCAGGCTCCCAAGTAGCTGGGACTACAGGTGCATGCCACCATGCCCGGCTAATTTTTTTGTATTTTCAGTAGGGACGGAGTTTCACCGTGTTAGCCAGGACCTGACCTCATGATCCGCCCACCTTGGCCTCCCAAAGTGCTGGCATTACAGGCGTGAGCCACTGTGCCTGGCCAATCACATACATTTAAAAAATGCACTGGTGGGCAGGTGCAGTGGTCTGAGCAACAGACCAACACTCTGTCTCAAAAATAAATACATACATACATACATACATACATACATTGGTTTGATTCAGAATGGTTGGACAACTCAAGCAGGGGGCTCTCAGGTAAATTTAAACATTTTCTGGTTGACAATTGGTGGAATTTATCTGAAGACTTGGGATCAACAAAAGGGAATTTTTAGGTTAAGGTAAAGAATTATGGAGACCAAGTTTTACTGTGCAGAGAAATCTCTCAGATAGCTGACTTCAGAGACAGAACAGGTTGTAAAATGTTTCTTA